GCGGTAGTCGACGGCCTTGGTGAACAGGTCGTTCAGCGGCCTGATCACCGGCAACCGTTTCGGATCCCGCCTCAGGGCAGACCGGCGGTCTCTGCCCCTGCGATGGCGGTCTCCTTCTCCGCCGGGGCTACTGTAGCCGTCCAGGTCCGAGTCTTCTCGCCGGAACCGACGTCGGTCGCGCGCATTGCGACCTCTGCGGTCGCTTCTGCGCGATCCGTCCGACTCGGTGTCCTCGTCATCGGAGGGGTATCCACCTCCTCCGGCATCGCGGTATCGCGTGTAGCGTCCTTCGCGGTTATCATCGGAGGGGTAACCGACCCCTCCGGCATCGCGGTATCGCGCGTAGCGTCCGTCGCGGTTCTTGCGCGTCGCCCTGTGGCGACGTCTTGTGTCTTCTTCCTCGGAGGGGTTTTCTGTACCCTCCGAGGTGTAGCCTTGAGCGCCGGGTGCGCTTCTTCTGCTCGACCGATACGGCTGTCGCTTTTCTGTCGCGAAGCGCCCCAGGCGGTTTTCTGTCCCGCGGGGGCCAGCCGTATCGGCGAGTACGGGAGGGCCATTTTCTGTGGGCCCTCCTGTAGCACCATAAATTGGTGGGAGGTAAATGGTCTTACCCTACGGGTGAGGGGCCATTGTACCGATCCCGGGTGCGGTGCCGATCGGTTCAGCGTGCGTTAGCGTAGAATCCGGAGCGGTTGAGTCGCGCTGCTCGCGTGCGTCGACTCCTGCTCCGGCGAAGGTCCTGGCCAGACGATTGGCCACGGCGGAGCTGATCGCTCCCTTTAGAGCCGTACCGGACGGGGATTCTTCATCCACAGTGGTGAGCGCGGTCACCACCTCGCATTGGACTTGAGCGGGTAGAAGTTCGTCCAAAAGCGGTGGTATCGCGCTGCGTACGTGCGCGTCCACGAGCGCGGGCACCGTTCGGTCGAGGCATACGCGCGCTACCTGGGGGAGTTCCGTAGCGAGGAACTCCTCGACCCAGGCCTGGATGCACGGCTGAATCGCGTCGACCATCCATTGGACGCGATTCTCAGTGCCTGCCGACCCGGCCGGCGTAACATCCGATGCGGACGCTCGCGTGCGGCCCGGTCGCGGTGGCAGTCGCAGCAGGGCTTCCGGGTTCTCCACCCGGGGGCGCGGTGCGCCACTGCCACTGCGGGTGCTCAGACGCCCGGAGGCGGAGTCTCCCCCTTGATCCGGTCGGTTCATCGTCGAATACGCTTCGCGATCGACGCGGTGATTTCTCAACCTTTTCCGTCCGTACGGTTCTGCGCGCGATCGAGCGACTACGCGTGCGGCTCAACCTCAAGAGTTATCCCCTCCACAAGAGTACCAAAATGTGGGATAACTCCTCTCCGCCCTGGGTTGGGTGAGAGGCGGAGGCTTTAGCGAGGGAGCACGCGGCGTGGACGCGACGCGCTAATTGAACCGATCGGACGAGCTCGCGAAAAGGGAGTGGCTCACTGGCCGGTTACGCGCAGTCGCCCCGTGGTGCGTGAACGGGAGCGACCGGTAACGGGTTAGAAGCCAGCGCGCGCGATAGACAACCGAAACGGACGTATATAGGCGCGAAAGGGACAGGGGCGAGCTTGCCCCCGTTTAGTGGTGGGACGGGTGCCAGGTCTTAACGCCGCAGAGGGACGCCTCGGACACCTGTCCCAGTACAGTAGTACAGTACCTGCCGCCTAGTGCGTGCCGGGTACTGTACACAATTAAAAAGGTAGCGCCATAATTGCTACTACCGCACGGACGCTGCTACTACACGTGTGCACTACTGTACACGCGTGTTGCTCACAGACTACCGCAAGGACGACACGTGTGCTAACGCGCACTCGTAACACGCGTAGACTACCGCTCGGACGACACGTGCACTACTGTACACGTACGCCAGATTACGACTGCTCGGCATGCGCGCGCGCTCGCTACACGTGGGCACAACCGCCCACGTGTATACCGTACACGGCCGTCTGATGACCTCCGCGCGCTCGCGCCGGTCATTATACTACACCGTCCTCGCGCTCTGCCATCTCGGGAGCTGTACGCGCCCTTTCTTCACGCGCGTGTGCATCACGCACCCTCCGAGCGGTAGCCTCTTGCCGCTCCTCCTTCTCCCTCTGCTGTTGAGCAGCTGCGCGAGCATGCTCGTTTGTGGAGTTTGGTGTAAGATTGCGCGCTGTAGTTGGAGCTTCTTGGCGCATACGGATCTCTTCGGCACGTCTCTCGAAGACCCGCAGCTCCTGCTCCCAGATTGTTTCAGAGAGCGAAAACTTAAGATGACCCCGCAAGACGAAATCTCTGTCGTGATAGATGTCTTTCTCGTTAACAGCAACGGCAACGAGGTTTTCTACCATTTCCATTGCCCTACTCAATGTACGCATGCTTCGAGTCGCCCCCCGGGGATCGTCGCGGCAGACGTCCGGGTGAACCAAGGCAGCGAGATGGCGGAAAGCTTTTCGAACAGCTGATATCGGGGCAGTCGCTCCCATGAAGCAAAAAAGTTGTAGGATGGTCGTAGCATTTTCTTCCACAACATTAAAGTGACGGAGGGCCTGCAAAGCCGTTTTCGGTAGGTCTGGGACTGTTGGGGGCGACATGGTTGTCTGGTTTGAGCAGCGGCCTTAGGGTGACGTGGGGGAATGCAGGGCAGAATGCAGGGTGAATCAGGCGGAAGTAAAGAGATTATCGAGACCAGGAGCAGGTCGTTCGCGGGTAGGGTAACAACGTGGGATTACGGGGTGATTCTTTATTGTCCCTCACGGCTTAAGGGGTGATTCTGCTGACTAAAATGCGACATTTTCCGTTGTGATTGGAAACGATGGTGACATATGAAAATCACCTACGGAGCCGTCCATCCGCTTCCTGTTCACCCTCCATGCCATCCACCTTTTCCCCTGTCACGCCCCTGATTGTCTAATTCTGCAAGCTGTCACCGCCCCAATCACAGAATCTCCCTTTCAAAATAGACGTTTGCGGTAGAGATGCTCTAACCACGATTTAGAGCCGCGGTGGAGATGCCCTAATTTCAAAATTGTCTATTTGAGCCTTTTGCCAATTTAAGTCATTAGAGCATCCCCACCGGTAGAATCAAATACCCAAACAACCAAAATTTGATGATTTGATGTCGATTGAAATCCCCACCGGTGCAACCAAATCATCAAATTTTTGGTGTCGATCTAAAAATCGGAACCAAATATCAAGAATTTGGTTCGGGTAGTCTCTGTTTGATTACCCTTGACAATCCAGTTGTGCACGTTCTATTGGTCGACCGAAACGGCTTCCCACCAAAAAGTGCATCGATGCGGTATTTGCCTCGAGATTACCAGTGTCTCCCGCCGATCCAGAATGCCCACTACGGCGTGCATGCTCTTCCCTTCCATCCCTCCAGAACGTCGACGGCCCCGCCATCCCTGATGCTCTTCCCCCTTCCATCCCTCCAGAACGTCGACGGCCCCGCCATCCCTGAGCGCGTCCTTCCCCGCCCGGCTCTTACACAACAACAACACTTCCTCGACCAACCAGGCGCGAATCTCCGCCATCTCCTCCCGTCCCACCTCCTTTGACCTCCCCAAGCACATTGCCACCGCCGCCGTACCCCCACCAACACATCATGGCACTCGTCCGCCATCGCGCAGTTCCGCACCCAGCTCGCCCCCGCCAGCCTCTTCTCTGCCTCCCCCGCCTCCAGCAATCTCAGCAACCTCGTCAACAGCTGTCTCTCCGCCTGCCTCCCCTCGACCAACAGGACGTCCCTCCCCTCCTGGCTCGCGCACGCATTCGACAGCCGCAGCACATTCGGAATACTCGGTACCCTCTCCACGAGCACGAGTAGCGTGCCCCTCTCCCGAAACCCGTCCGCGCCCTCCGCTTCGTCCACGCCCGGCGCGAAGCGCGTCAGGTTGGACAGCAGCGCCGCGTGCAGCGCGACGACGTCCGCGTCCAGGACCACCTGCGCTGCGAGCCGCACCGCGTCCGCGTGCGTCAGAGCCGCCGGCTCCTCGTCCTCCGACAGGTTCACAAGCGCAGACAGTGCTAGAGCAGTGCGATTCGCTGCTCAGCAGCAGCAGCAGCCGCAGGAGAACGTCGCTCGCGGCTGTCGAGCCAATCATCCGCCGCAGCACCGCTGCCGCCGGCGCGTATGTTCTCTCCGGGATCGCGCTGCTCGCGGTTGCGTGGGGAGCGCGTGCTGTCCGTGAGCAGGGAGGACAGCGCCGGCAGTCTGTCTTTGTCCACGGTGGAGGTGAGAGGGAAGGAGTGCAGACAAAGTGGCGAGGGAGAAGGTCGCGGGATGGGTTTCGAGTGAGCGTGCGACTACGACTGAGGGTGCGATACGAGGGTGAGTACGAGTGTGAGTACAAGGATGCGATGGTGAGTACGAGGGGAATGTACTTCATTTGGTTCTCACCGGTGGGGTAGTTCTTTCCGAAGCATCAAACAGCCAAATAACGAAACAACCAAATTCTAGGGAGCCAATCAAATTACAGAAAAAGTGTGCCAAGTGTTGTTATTTGATGATTTGATTGCGTACCGGTGGGGATGCTCTTAGGGAAGGTACCCTTCCATGCCAGCGGACATTGCTGGCAGATCATAAAAACGCGTATATTTGATTCCTATTGGCCCTATACACTGTACTGACCTCCATCTAACCAATGATCAAGCGAATCCTTTAGATCTTGGAGAGATGATTGACTCTTTCAATCACTGTGGGCCCGGCAAACTCTAAAAAACAACAGCATCGATTCCTCACACTCGATTCTTCGAATGCATCACAGGGCATCTATTCCGCTGCTTACTTGACATATCCCAGGAGAGCAGTACTTTAGAAGTTGCGGCACCCCTGGCGACCTCTCTCGCTGCTGTATCGGGAGCGCTTGACTCATCTCATGATTACCCAAACCTTGTTCGTCTTCATTTAGCCACCGCACTCGCTACCAAGACAGAATATCCACTGCGTCGAACTACTAGCTCGTCGAGATCAAGCGGAGCAGGTTGCAAACCTTCCAATGAAGACCCTGTCACATGGACGAGTGCTAAAAGCGCTCACTCTGCTGCTTATCGTAGCTTCGAGTGCCACAGTAGGTCTGGCGGGCATGTACGGTGAGCATGTGGTTGAGCTTACCGCGTCCAACTTCGACAAGATGGTCATGCAGTCGACCGAAACATGGTTGGTCAAATTCTACGCCCCTTGGTGCGGCCATTGCCAATCGTCAGCACCTGCATTCACGAAAGCCGCGAAGAAACTCGACGGCGTGGCCAAATTGGGAGTCATCAACTGCGATGACCACTCTTCACTAGCGCAGCGCTTTGGTGTCAAAGGCTTTCCGACCCTCAAGATCTTCAAGGGGGATGGCAGCGCGGCACGCAGACCATCCGATTACAACGCGGGACGCTCTGCAAAGGCATTCGTCGACCAGGTCAAGTACGTCATGCCGTCATTCGTCGCGAGGGTTAAGCCTTCCGGACTTGACGCATTCTTCAAGGATGATCACAGGCTTCCCCATGTACTGCTGTTTACCGATAAAAGCTCGACATCACCTTTGTACAAGGGAATGTCCGCTCGTTTCAAGGGACGTGTTGCTTTTGGCGAAGTCCGCAAAACTGATGCCGCGGATCTTGTCAAAAAATACTCCGTGAAGTCTTATCCGGCACTGATTTCCTTCAAGGCTGGAGAGAGCGACCCCGAACATGCATCACTGTTCTCTGGGGCCATGGATCCAACCTCTTTGCATAATTTCTTTGAGAGCGTTGTAGGTAACAAGGACATCCCACCAGGTGAGCCGGCTGCCGAAAAAGAACCTGCAGAAAAGGTTTTCGCTCAGCCGAAAGCTTACTCAGGCGACGTGTCTATCATTAGTGGTACGAAAGCATACGAGGAACAATGCGGATCGAGAAATGACGGGCGCATGTGTGGCCTGGCCTTAGTGCCTGGTGGCCGAACACATACCTTATTCGGGGACTTGAAGCCAATTGCAGAGCAGTACCAATACGATAACATGGCATTCGCCATACTAGACAGCACCATAGACGGGGGACGTGACTTCGCATCGCTGTTTGGCATCTCTTCTGACGTTGGCGGTTTCATTGTGATGCGTGCAAGAAAGAAGAAGTATGCCGCACTCGAAGCAGAGGATGGGCCAAGCAAGAGCGCTATTTCCTCTTTCTTGGATAGGATTGTTGGCGGTGACGGAAGGTTTAAGAAGCTCTCTTCAGAGTTGCCGAAGTGGGAAGTTAAAGAACCAGAAAAAGAAGGCGCGGGGGACTCTAATGAAACTGACAATGGTGCGAGCGAACCGAAAGACGAGTCTAATGAGAGTAGCGGGCAGTGTGGCACAGAGCCTCCAAAGGATGGTAAATCGTGTGGTGACCCCAAAGAGGAGTTGTAGAGGTGCCGTGGAGGATGCTTGTAGGTTGCATTGGACAAAAGACGATACCTCACTAACAATTGATATTCTGACATTCTCAAAGAACTGAGCCTCTGGTCGAGTTATCTCAGGTTCGATGAGAGCTGTGTTCTCCGGGATCGCCAGAGCGTTGTAAAGATTAAAGCGATTCCTTGAACAGAAATTGCAGTCCGGTTTCCGGGCTTCTGTTTGGCAGGACTTGGATCCCAATTGCAAGGAAATCCTGCCCATGCCTTGGCCCTCTTGTGAAGGGTACTAGGGGGACACTTTAGAATCATGTGAGTCAACTGACCGCTGTCCTCTGACTGCGACCTATTCCCTAGTCCTGACATGTTCATTGCCTGCGAACCCTTAGCAAAGGACGACTTGCAGGCATAACGCCCATAACGGAATGTGCGGCTCAAGGTTGTGCTGGAGCTACCGCAATACGATTCACGGGCATGCCGAGAACATTTCAAATGACCGCTCCCATGCTTCTAAAATAACGCCAGTATACTTGCCTGTGACTCGGAACAGCCTGACACAATGCACGCAGCGTAAGCGAAGTAATCTCCACGATTGTCAACGTTGCGAGAAAATGTGGAACCTCTACCTTCCGCCGCTCTCGCATACCTATAAATGTGTGGAGTGCGATCCTGTTGAGTCCTCGAAACTCCGCCGATCAAGGATTTCGAAATTTCTTACATAAGTTGAGAGCCTCAGGAGCAGAGCCCACGCCTCGCCTAGCAGGTACAACTGGGGATCTCCTTTGATATGCCTACAATAGCGGGTTTCTTTTTGCGAATAACAATGCAGCAAAGCAAGTGTGGTCTTCCGTCATCCTGTACAGTCAGTACCCATCACTTTTCCCTACAGTACTAGAGCGCACATCCAATGTTCATAGAAGCCAGGGATTCGATAGGGTCTTTCTTCCACACTCTTCTTCCATCACTAGACCTTCTCAGACCGATCTGACTGGCTGTTTCTTCCCAATACCAACGGGATGGCCCCCAAGATGCAACGAGAAACGCCGTTTCAGAAAGACGTCCGTCTCTGGAATGCGGAAAGAGCTGACGAATTTGTCGATATACTGCTGGGTGTGTCAAAACAAAGTCTAAATATCATCTCAGACTTCCAAAAAACTCAATCAAATTATGGTTGTGTTTTTAACGAAATTTCCCTGCAAAGACTTCTTAATTCAGCTCTGCTTCACAATAGATGCTTTTCAATGGTGGCACGGTGTTCCTACAAGATTCCCGAACGGCTCATACGGGCCACTGTGGTACAGCACAGGTACAAGTACTGTACCTCTACAGTGTACGCCCTGCGCCCCCTCATGCATGAGTAACCCTTCGAAGGGGACCTACGCTACAAGACCATCACATACACACATCTGACTGCGATAATACCGACCACACAAAAGCCCTGCACCAAGGCTTCTCTTTAGAAAAGACATCAGCTCTTGCACTTAGAAGATATTGCCATTTATGGAACAAAATCATGGATTGTGGAGAACTCGTGGATGAACAAAAAGTACGCTTTGAGCAACTTTTCGGAGCGAAGTGATGCTTCCAAGGAATCGGAAGACTTTGGACTTGCGTGCATAAAAAATACGCTCGAAGGCGTATCAGTTTCTAAAATGTCGATGACAGGAGCGTTTTAGATGTTCTGAGGCATTAGATCACAGACAAAGTCACGCCTACAGTTTAATATATAACCATATTGTCTAGCTTTCTTGTCCTCTTGATCGGAATGTACTTCCAAAAGCCTTACTCCCACTCCAAGCGAGAAGGAATCTGTACAGGCACATATGACGAAGCAGTGCTGATAAATGCGACTCTCTAGATTCCAGAATTGACGTAACTATTGTTGCAATAGAAAGCTATGCTCAAAGGAAGCAGGCCGCATATCGTCTAATTTCCTATTGCAAAGATACTAGATTCTAGGTGGTGTTTTTTTTGTTCCATTTGCGGATAGTCGTTAACTGGAAAACGCAAAAATTTAGTATTGTAGAAGCCAGTGTTACTCACTGTTTCTTCAACGCTCCCTGCGTTACCGTCTTGCATTACGCCAGTGTAAAAGTTTTGCATCTACAGAAAGTACACGGAGCTGGTTATCTTTAAACTTGCGTTGCAGAGAGTAGAGAGACAAGTTTGCGAGCAACTTGAGAACGATTCTCTGTTGAATATTCAAAGCTCGACGTCGTTCTCTGTTCGATACCCCTTTTGTTTTGTTACTAGAGTTCTTGTTGCTTCGCTGTTTTCTCTGGATACAAAATAAACAAATGCGCAAATCGCAATTTTTTTCATAGAGTTTATGTGATGTTGGTTCTGAGAATACGAAATGACACCCTATGCAGCCATCACTCGTTAGGAGACTAGGGACTGTAACGCCAAACTCAGTGCAACGATATAGGATAAATAGAAGTGCACCAGTGGCTTTCAATAACTCCCAGAAATCCTCCATGCCTGGCGAGGACTTCTGGTTATTTCTTCGTTTTGCCAAAGTCTGCGAAGCTGAACTTTGAAGCGAAGCCGTTTTCAAGCCCTTTGGAGAAAACTCCTTATCAAGAATCTTCAGTGTCGAGAAAAAATTTGCGAGACGACGGTTTTCATGAAACAGAGATGTCTTGCTTGTAAGCATGACATGTTCAACTACGACCTAGTGCATGAATAACGAAAGACCCTTTTGAGAGCGTTCACACTCACTGAGAGCAGAAAGGTTGGAGCAAAAATCAAAAAGGGCTCGCTTTCAGGCTTGGGTCGACACACTGTCTGGACTCAATTAACATCCACCTCAGTAACACGTGTATACCTCCGGTACGTGTCAATGAAACTGTAAATTTGCGTCGTACATCCAGTCATAGCTCGCGCAAAGCTTACATCTGGCCACATGGCGGCATGTGTTTTTTTTTATTCCGCTGAAAGATGCGCTCTCTTCCCCACTTCTCGCAGAGAAACACTGCTCTATCTTATCCGTGAAGGGGAAAAAGCTTGCATTTTCATTGACAATTTGCTTGGATCGATTGCAACTTTTCTGCGCGGGCTTCGACATGAGTTGAGGTGTCAAGGTCTTCACGGGTATGCTGAAGATGCCGCTAGAGGAGAACGGGCATGTCCTCCGAGTTTCCATCGCGAGAGGAAAGAGCTGAGGTTCCACAACCTGTGAAGAAGCGTGGCCGTTTCGCAGTTTGTGCGGAAGGTATAGGCCTCAACTCCGAAAGAAGCCAGTCCTCCGGGAGAAGGGAAAATAGAGAACCTGTTCCGAAGGGATATGTTCGCTATGAACTCGACGAGGAGGACTCTGAGGACGACCCTGACTTTGAGGCTAATGCAGACGTACTTGCAGATGAAGATGACGATGACCAGTACAATGGCCTAGTAGACATCAATGAAGGGGAGCTAGCACCTGATACCACGCGTCGGTCGGAAGCCGAACTCAACCATATTCTGAACGACCCACGCATTCAACAGTCCACCCGACGAATTGCAAGCAGAAACGGAGCATTCGATGACCTAGCGCGACCATCCGAACTTTATCCTACCAACCATGCATCTCTACCTTCACTAGGGCCCGAGCTTGGCCAAGATCCAGACTTTGACCTAGATGATCCCGACTTCGAGGTTGATAATCTTGACTCGACCGACGAAGAAGACGAGCGGGAGGATTCCGAACCATTTGATGAAAACAATGAAGATGAAAATATACATCTCCCTGATGACACTATTGAATTCGATAATTTCCATGACTCAAATGACATAGAAGTGGACGAACTAGATGAGGCAGATTCGGATGAATCTGGATGCGAGGCAGAAGAAGAAGAAGATGAGGACGATGAGGACGATGAATTTGATGGGAAGGAAGGCGCTCCGGATGAGTATCAGCAGTTTCTCATGGGCATTCTGGCGGAATCGGGAGATAGAGTTACCGAAGGCAGCCGTGATGTTCCTGGGGGACTACCTCCCCCAAGTTGGGCTTTGGATGATGATGATGATTTCGACTACCTGCGAGAGTCAGCTAGAGTACAAGACGACCCTCTTGAATATAGAGATGATTTGCAAGTCTCTCGGAAAGAACTGGTTCAGTTGTTCTCGAACAGCACGGTAGGGCTACGCCGACAAACGCGTCATTCACGAGCTTCCCAGACTGTTAAGCCGAGGCAATCAAATAGATCAATCCGTGCCCTCCCAATTTCACGAACATTGTCCTCCGCACCAGCTGCGGCAGCCTCTGCACCGCATCCGGTCGTTAACGGAGCCGTTTCAAACACACTAAGGAGCCAAACAGGTCCATCTGCGAACCGAAGCGTGCCTACTCCGTATATTGGAAGTCCAAACGCACCTTTCATCAACCTTCCCGTCCATTGTGTGAACATGTTGCATGAACAAATGTCCATTCATGTACAGCTGCTTACCGCTGTTCATGCCAAGGCGAAGAAGGTTTCACGAAGTGCTCGTGAGCCACGTTTTGAAAGCGGCGCGAATGAAACCGTAGACATTTCGACTGCAAACGCTGCCGCAAATCGTTCCGAAGTGTTGCTGCGAGGATTAGTAGAAAACAAGAAAGTGTCCGCACTATACCACCAGGCACTGGCAACCAACTTGTCACGGTTGAAGGCATTTTCTGAAAAGCTTCTGCATCGAGACGGAAACGCTGCGTTCAAATATGAGACCTGCAAGACTTCAGCGTACAATCTTCCGGTTCTTGATTTGCTTGAGCAATTTATCAGCGACTGCAGAAATGCAAACCTGGAGGAGATGCCCGGTAACGTACTCGCTCGCTTCAAACCATTTCACAATCCCCAAATATCTCAAGCTATGTGGACTCGCCCTCAAGGACGACAGTATTCAGCTTCAGGTTTACGTCCAGGTTGGTTTTCGTGGACAGCCGGAGACGATTTTTTGCTTGCAATAACGATGGCAAAATACGGCAGCAATGAGGTCGGGCAGTTTTCGAAAGATTTACTTCCGCATCGAAAAGAGGATGATTGCCAAACTCGTGTTAAATATCTCTCATCGCGACGCTGCCCAGATAACCCAGTCAAGAGACAAGTAATGCTGATAACCTCACCTCTCAACAACTATGAAGTAGAGCAAGTCACACGTGGGTTGAGCATGTTTGGGCGCGGCGCATGTCTTGATGATGCAGCAGTATGGAAGCGTATTCAGGCAGAGCTTCTGCCGGGGCGCGAGTGGTCCCACTTGCAGAAGCTTTGGCATTGGAGAGAGACTCGACGCAAATACAAAGCGAAGTACAGAGCAAGGTCGTACAAGAAGAAGAAGGCAATGAAGGAGCGCACACTACCAACCTAGCCTAATTTATGTGTCAATATCAATCGAGCAGTGAGCTTCTTTTATCCCAAGTCGTGAGTTTCGCCACTACTATTTATGACGGATAAACCGGAAGATGTTGGAACTGTTGTATAGACCCCAACCATCTGAGACTAATGCGACGTAATTCTTCATCTTCAAGGAGGTACGGGCATCGTTTCAGCTGTCCCACTCCCATCACTCACCAGCACGCGATAGATTTGTTCCCAGCGCGCTTACATACTGTATAGTATGATTGTAGTGATCGGCGGAGAGTTGAAGTGCGGAGAGAAGCCGTTCGCAGCTTTGTCGACGGCCGTGCCTATTTGCGTGGCACCAGATTGTACCAGTCAAACCAAATACAGGCCCCTGCCTTCCTCTACTCTGATGTGGCATATTTTCTACCAGTTTGCTTCTGACGCGAGCGGAAAGTCTCACGAATGAGGAAAGGGCTGCGAAGTAATCATCGCCGGAACGAACTAATACCGGTAAGCAAAACCCGCTTCTCACAGCCCCTGTTCTTTTTCGACCTAGCCAAATTTCATACTAGCGATGGAAAATCTAGCAAAATTCCTCTTGTGAATCACTCTCACCGCCCATCTCCATGGAGCTACAGAGGGTGCAAGCCTTCTGCGCATCCATTTCTACGTGCGCTCTGTGGAGTTGTGCTTATCCCAAATATGGCAACTGCATTTGTAGCGTGTCCTGTGCCCCGAGGGTTGTCCGTGAACTTTGGCCACTGCGAAGGCAGGGCGATGGTCAAACGCACGCGGCGGTTTCGTTTTGTTCCCTCGAAGACATCGATCCAAAAGTGCCCCACAGTCATATCTGCGAAGCAAAGTACATGTGTGCGATGCGGAGAGACTTTCACGTCTCATGAAAACTTTCCGGGAAGCTGTCGCTATCACGGAGACATAATGGGAAATCCACAGCCCCTAAATCTCTACGAAGGTATGTAGGATGCTGTTCCTTGGCATAATATCAAACGCATTAGACCAGCGGGTTACTGACCGCAGTTTGTTGCTCCATTGCAGACCACCACTTCGATGATCCGGCTCTCGACCATGTTAAGGGCCCGAGGTATGGCAGAAGATGGGCATGTTGCCAAGACACAGACCCTGGTGCCCCTCCGTGCAAGAGTGGGGTCCATGTGACGTACGATTGCCCTCCGGAGCGATGGACTGAGGCGCTCAAGTTTGAAGTGCAGTAGCAGTGAGCAAATGGGTTGCTTCTTCTGAAAGCAGAAGTTGCTCAGAACACGAGGTGCTTGTGCTCACTCGGCCGCGAAGGTCGCCTTGGTCTGGCAATAGCTCCCAATGAATAGGTTACGTGTGATCTTCGGTGAGTGGTGACATGCAGAGTGATAATAGAGCAGCCATCTCAAGATGTGTGGACGTGGAAGCATGAATGATTGCCATGCTGCAATTGAATCAGGAAGTCCCGGACCGTCGTCTACGAACGTTTTAAACGCGGAGTCTCACACCAGCGGGAGGGGGTAAGGTTTTCTCTCTCTTTCTAGTATCTTTTCTATCCACTGGAGGTGTTTCTTTTGTGAATCTTGCCCTTGCAAATCGCAAACATCAGTATTTAAGCCAAGGCACATCTAAGTCTGCAGCTGAACCTCACGAGGGTTTAAGTTAATGCACAGTATGCGGTCAAATGTACTCTGAATATATCTCGGGAGGTGTTCGTGGAAGAATTACGGTTGGTGCGATGTGGGGACTAAGCGTTTTGTTTCCATAGTTTGACTAGGTGCACGGTGGACGGGTACCTTTCGCAAGCTGTCGTACTGGAAAAATTAAAACACTGGTGAGCAGATATATCTTGAGCAGGAGTTAATACATGGGAACGTGTTCGTGCATCAGTGCTAATGCGGATATTTTAGGAGGCGAAAATAAAAATTCCCGTTCCTCTGGCCGAAGTGATGAAGGTTCCGTGGGCTGGGAGCGGCACTACACAGCGCACTGACAACGCCTTGAATGACAACTGAATGCAGCATGTGCCAAGCTGTTGTAGTGGAGGTAGAAGCTTGGAGCGTAGGCGCCTGGTTTCTCAAAGGCAGGGGAGATGCACTATTTTGAAGCGCACACGTGCTGGGGAGCACTTACAAGTTTGTTTAACAAACTACTGTACAGTAGGCCTTACTTGGGGCAGTATGCCGTGCTATAGTTTTGAGGGCGAGAGCAGGCTTCTCTTCGTCCAACGTCGTCGATGCGAAGGCAAACGACGCGTTTTCAAAGAAGACTCCTCCAGGACTAATATGACACAAGCGCGGAGAAAACTGCGATCTCAAACGTCTTCGAGTTGTGATGAGAATCTTACCGGTTTGCTCTCACGCTGGCAGAAGACAGTGGAGAAGCGCTCCGATGTGGACAACACAAATGAACATTGAAGAGGATTACGTGCGATTAAAAAGATTCCATTCTGTCGTGCGCCACGTCGTTCCACCAATCATTGCTCCGCCAAACCGCGATGTGCCGACACACGAACTAGGAAAGTTACAGAATTTCCCATACTGTATTGCGACACACGGTGGTCGTACCGGGTACGCTTCCCGTACAGTTTTGAGTCAAAACTGTACGGGAAACGTCCTTCTTGAAGGTTGTTATACTTGCAATACTTGCACCACCCCATCGCTTTTTAGTCCCTCCTCTTCCACCTTCGCGCACCACCCGCCTTTCCATTGCAACCTCATCCACACCCAGGCCTTCCGCCGGCAAGCCGCCTCCGCATATCACCATGGGCAACGTTCTCAGCTGGGAGTCTCAAGACGCGCAGGGCCAGCCGCGCTCCGGGTTTGCCAAGTGCATCGACCCTGTCGGCGCCTGCTTGCAACCCTCGGCCTTCACCCTCTACGGTGCGAATGTAGATGAGGCAGAACACGTCAACCATCCCGGCCACGACGCCCAAGACTCCATCCCGGACGACGCTCACATCCACTCAGAATTAGTCGCCCCGTCCACGCCTGGTGCCATGCCCCCGGCCAAGGCCGAAGAGTTTTGAGCGCCCTCGCTTTTTAGGCCCTCTCGCTACCTGACCTTACCAGCACCCGGCCCTTTTCGTGAACATAGGCAGCTGTGCATCGACCTTCGTCCCCGGAATCCAGGCTTTCAGGTATTTTTTGTTGTGTAGTTCGTTAGAAGCGGCGATTGCTTGACGCTCTCTGCTTTCTGGAGCGGCGACCAGTTGGTTTTATACATGGCGAAAATAAATGCGTGAATTTCTAATGGTTAGAGCCCATCTTCTCCGTCGCTTCCGCCTCGACTGCCGTTTTTCTCTCCTTGCCCCAAGTGTTGTGCCGTGTTTTGTGTCAACCTCATTGGCTCGTGCCTCTGCGCACAGGAAACCTCCTCCCCCAGGGCATCCCCGACCTTATGCGGTGCTCATACGGAAGCGAGCAAAAACCCATGCGAGTCACGGCCTACATCCTCCTCTTTCTGCGCTCTACTGATCAGACCGACCACAGTTTTTGCAGCACCTAACAGAGACAAAACTATGCACTAGTGGGACACGCTCTGGCATGTGCTCTAAGGAGTGCGTGGCAACCGATGCAGTCTGGTAGCTCTTTACACAAGCCTTGACCATGTTAAGGCAAGCATCTTTGGGTAGCTCTCTGTAGACAATGAACCTCGGTCTACGATGGTATTCAGAGTGGAGAGAAGCAACACGCCAATGTCTTTCTTCATTTCACTTATGCTTGTCTCTTAACGCATTGCGAGTACATGGCATTCGTGGGACCAACAAACAGGTGAGCTCCAAAATTTTAGAGCCGGAAGTGTGCGTCTTGTGAAAACAATGCAAAAATTCTTCCAAGCATATTCAGAATTAGGGTTATCTCGGCCGCTTTGCGAGAGCTGCAATCTCGCCAAAAATTTCAACATCCTGCGAGCTCCCGCGGCCTCCTTCGTCTCAGAAACATCTAACCCACCCCATCCTCTGCTCCTGCTCTTCAGTACCGTTGCATTGTGCGATTTTGTTTACCACTACGACTCCAACCTATTCTTTGACCCGTATCCTCTTATCGGACAAACGCGATCGATGAAGGGTCCGGCTTTCGCACCGTTTGCGCCGGCGGGTCTTTCTACCGGGAAGGACTTTGCCGGAAGTGCAACATGCAGTCGGCACCAATTCCGGGGGACTGCAATTGCAGTGAGCAACCGCGTCGTTCTTCCATCCTCCATGCCCATTGTCGCTCCTCTCCCGGCGATGCCAACCATTGAAGCCATGCGTCACGGGAAGCGCATTGCGAAGCTGAACAAGCCGGCCGACCAGCGCAAGGCGCTTCTTCGTGCGCTTACGACCGAGCTCATTCGGCACGGCCGCATCCAGACCACCCATGCGCGTGCTCAGGCCGTGCGCAAGCCTGCGGATCACATGATCACTCTCGCGAAGGATGGCTCGCTGCATGCGAGGAGGCAGGCCCTTGGCTACATCTACGATAAGGCCCTTGTGCACGCGCTTTTCGAACAGGTGCCAGAGAGGTATGGAGACAGGAATGGAGGATACACTCGCGTGCTGCGCACCATGCCAAGGAGGGGCGACAATGCGCCTATGGGTATCATTGAGCTCGTGTAGAGCAACCACCATGGCTGCATACGCTTCGTGCTTGTTTTAGAAGGTGTTCGCGCTGCTTTTTGTCATCGGAATGCGGCTGAATTGGAGTGATTACGTAAATATTTGAGTCTTGACCCAGGCTGCAATGTATTTGGGAGCGTCTAATTCGGTTTCGCATAGATCACGCTGCGCTGATCGCTGCGCAGGTAAAATAGCCCAACACAACTTTCAAAACTAGTTCGTCGCGCTGGCCCGTCTTGTTGCTGGTACAATACTTTTCCGCATTGTCTTATCAGTGGCACACGCTTTATCTATTCATCTTGAATGCGAGACTCAGAGAACACGATGTAGCAGCTTTGTCTTTGAAACCACACAAAGAACAAGGCAGGATAGCGATGTCATTGCTGTAACTTCTTCGGCTGTTACACTTGCGGATTTCACTTCACTTCCTACCCACTTGTGCACAGGTACAATTGATGTTTTGTTGCGATTCACTGTGCTAGAGGGTCAGAAGAAATAGTCACTGACGCCATAAAACTAGGTCTCCCGTCGTCGTTGACCAAATGTAAAGACACACACGGAACGTAGTATGGGGCCCAAGGTTGCGTCGAGGCCTTTGTGAAACCTTAAATATTTTTGGGACCTATTTTTTATCTATGACAAGTAAAATGGGACCTACCCCATGGACTGTTCGTTGGCACTTCACCAGGACGATTAGATGAGCAACTCTCGCTTACTACTTTCATTGTGATCTGGAAACTCCCGTATGTCTAGAATAAAGGTGCTATCACTGTACAAAAGCATTCTCCGCCTTCATAGACAGAAGCTTCCAGATCTGTACAGGTCGGTGGGCGACAAGGTATGTGCATGAACATGAATGCTTCGCCTATCATGAGGAGCGTTGTGGCGGCAACATCTAACATGTACAATTCTTTCTCTTACTGGAATAGTACTTGCGGCAAGAATTTCAAGCCCATCGCAATGTCAGCGAGGAACAGCACCAACAGTTCATGAAGCAATGGCAAGACTACGCAGCTCATTTAACGGTGGAAGCGGTAAGCTGGAACGCACCATGTGCTCCGACCTTTGAAGTGCGTGCTCTCATGAAACTGACGTGACGACTTGTTTTGCATACAATGCCACCGAGCAGGACCTCTTTGGGGTTGGTCGCGAAATGGCGGACGAAGACGTCGAGGCTTTGAGTGACGATCAAAAAGTGCAGTTGCAAAAGCTCCGGGCATCGGCGGCCAGCATTGGGGTCCAAGCCAAAGTTGAAGCAGGCGAAAACCCTTATGAAGACGTGAAAGGAAAATGATGTTTTACTGTGTGCCCGTGGCAAGTCTGTACAGGAGAATTACAATGCGGCAGGCATGATGCGACTCTCTTCAGCGTCGTCCACTTTCACACCAATTCTGAGGGACCTAATCGTTCGAGAGAACCTGAGCTAGTCTTCGAGTTAAAGAAAAAGAAGTTGTTGATTGGCTCGTCTTTGCCAGATACGTATTTGATAACTTCTCTTCCCCACATTCCGCCAACGATGGCGGCCACAGGAGGAATTGTAAACTGTGCCACAGTGCCAACTTGCACTAGTAGCTCCTCTTTTGAATGAGATGGCTTCTTCTCCGCTTTAAGCTTGTCGTAAGTATCTAAAAGCGCCTTTTGGTCGGCCTCATCGCCGACAGGCATCCTGCCGTGCTGCCCTTCAAACTCAAGCAAACTCAACGCTACATGCCAGCCAAACTCCGATCGTCTCGTCTCCTTCCCCCAAGGTGCACCGACCGCTTCGGCGTATGTGCAAAACGATATTTCGTTCTCTTGCATTGCAGTCGACTCAGTTTCAGCCTTGGGATCTTTCTTCGCTTTGACCTGGAACTTGTAGCTTTTTCCAAAATCAAAGAAAACCCATCCAACTGTACCCGCGGTGCGACCAGTACAAAAAGCAACGCCTTTTTCGCGGCAAGCGTTTGCAATAACAAGTTCTTCTTTCTTTGACATGCCAATCGCGCAAACAATTGTGAATTCATGAATGGTGGGCAAGATATCCTCAATGACATCCACTCTGACGTGAGGGTTCATGTCACACAAAGATTCAACAGTGGCATTGAGATTTGAGCCCAAAAACCCACGGCCGCACGATTTGCTGGAAGAATATAGCCCCAGACGGGCTATACCAGAAAGGACGACGTTTTTTGCCAGTTCGTGACCGAGGAGACTACATGAGGTCCCTGCAATTAAAACGTGCGACTCAGCAAGTCTGCGTTGCGCCTCAACACCCCAGAGGCGAATCTGCCTATCATAGCGGTCGTACCATTCGCGTTCGCCGCCCGTCAATTCGTGAGTTGCTGTTGCTCCTGCTGCAGGATCCATAGCCGTGGAAAGGCCTTTCTTTCACACTTTGTCTTTCGCTGTATCAATGCACGGAAAATGGGATAGCTGGGCAGAAGCAGTACTCTGCCAAGCGACAAAGCACAGCATAGGCAAGTGGGCCTTCACTTTGGCGGGAGTATGGGTGAAGACGGGATCTAGCAATGCCTAAATTAGGGTTACAATAGTAATTGCACAAGTTATTAATATGCTCCACGTGTACAAGTATTGAGCCAATAACAGCGCTGGGAGTAGTGGGCTTCTCTACCCCCCTTCTACCCCCCTTCTACCCCCATGCTACAGTAGTACATAAGCACCGCCGACGCCACCACTTCCGCCGTCGCCAATTGTTTGACCCACAAGCACCTGACTGCTCCAACTGGGCACTATTAATAAGGTGATATTGCCACTCTTGCCTCGCGGAGAGGTAGGATTGCTCAAACCCCCCGCTGATGCCCTCAGTTCACCTGGACTTGTCGGAATTTGAAAATCCACGGCCGAGCCGATCGTCAGAGCGTCCTCAAAGCCCGCGACCTGCCTCACCCGTACCGTCATCATCAGCTTCGGACAGCAGTCAGCATCCTCATGATGATTCCAGTCACACTCGACAGAAGAAACGGAAGCTTCCGTACCGTGCTGCTGTCGTCCTTGAGGGGCGCCGGTACAAAGGGAAGCGTGTTTCAAGAAGAGACGCGGATTTAGAGCCTGAAGCATTTGAACTTCCGGATCATTTTTCTCGCAGCGATCATGATTCTAGTGACAAGTCTATATCTGACGGTGTCCTTGAAGTCGGAGACGACCTCCCTGGACTGGATGATGCGCGACAAGATGAAGAACAGATAATCTCAAGTCGCGCTGAGCGATTGAAAGCAGAGGAACGAGCCGTTGCAGCTCGATTGGTAGAGGTCGAGAAACGGGAGATCACACGGGCCCATGTTGTGCGGAAACAAAAGGTAAGTTGTCCTTACATACTCTCGATTCACCCACAGTGGGTGGTATGCCAGTGATTGCTCATGATGAGTATTTACCGTGCTAGACAATTGAATGCTTTGGCTATGAAAATAGCGGTTTATCCATTCTCTGAAGATAATGACCCTGCGCATACGATCCACACCAAGTGACACATCTAATTGCATTTTCTAACTGCTTTTCCTTCCGTGTTGCCGTTGTCACATCGTTATACAGGATCTGTATGATGCTGTCGTGAATTTCCGAATTAGAGTGCAAAATTTTGTCTCTTTAGCACGCCAGTTCCCGAGCAATGCCTTGAGAGAAGGGTGTAGTTCGTGGACCCCAGATGAGGAGCTCAGCGACAGCATGAAGATGACAGAAAGCAGTATGTCGTCTCTTGCAAAACAGGCTTGCAAAGCGTATTGCGCCACTTGGCCATCTTCTCAAGATAAGCATTCTGACAAGGATTTCGAGAAATGGAGAAATACTGTTCTAGATCATTGGGGGTCAAAGGTTGACGAAGCCTCAGGAGCAGTTCCGAAAGGGGGGTTCAAGACCATCGACACGACTGTGAGCGCACAGGTGAAAGCTTCTTTAGCCTCTGGGAAACATCTAGCGAAGACTCAACGAGTGCGGGAGTCCTTTTCTTTGCTTGGTGATGGCCTCGAGATGTTGCAAGGTTCCAATGAGTTGGAGTACGATGACGGTGACTTCTACAGGATTCTACTTCGTGAAATCATCGAGAGTGGAGAAGCTGCCGGAGGAGGGTTACAGTACTCTAAGCTGTCGAAAGGTGGCAAGGTCAAGAAGAAGCGGGACAGATCTTACGCCAAGGGTCGCCGTCTCAAGTACGATGTGCATGAGAAGCTCGTCGGGTTTCTCGCGCCCATCCCTCTTCCTGATGGTGGACCGGTAGATGAAATTGTCGCCGCTCTGTTTGGGCGACGGGGATCAATGCCCTCTACTGCATAAGAGCCGTTACACGTGTCTCCGCTCTCATACCTGCCTTATTTATCACATACACTGCTTTCAACTGTTTCGTTGATATGTAAACTTAGTCTAATACTGCAGCTTTGTGCTGTAGTCGCGTGGAGCGTCTACGAGGCCCCTGCCTTTTCTTGCACCACGATAGACGACCTCAATTATGTCAATCAGGTCTTGTGTATTCGTCATGGGGAAGGTTATCTTGTTGTTGTTTCCAGTTCCCATGTCGACCATGATGTGCTTGTCCCTGTGGAAAAACATGACGGTGCATGGATCTGTCAGTTGGTAGTCCTCGTTAAAAGCTGTCACCTGTGAGATGTCGACAAGGTAGATCACTGCAAAGTTCTTTACCAACTCTGCCACTTTGTACAGCGTCTCATCCATGATCATGCAAGTCGGGTCGGAGTCTGTACCCCAGCGAATGACGACCACGCGCTCCTCTTCGGTCTGCAAAGCATTATTGACAGCTTCTGCTGTCTCGAGATGTGGTAGCAGGTAAGACATCGCTCAACCGCTTGTGCTCCCTGTAAACCAAACGTCAGAGCTTGACAAACCTGGGAACTGAGCGGCCGCACGCCACAAGACAATGTAGCGGTTTACGTCTCTGTGAGGTTATCTCATGCACATAGAAACGATCCGTCCGGTTGCTCGATGTCGATGTTCGGCGCGGGCGTGCTGCTCTTCTTCTCTGCGGCACAACGAAGAAGACGTATTCCAGAATGTGCAGCACTTCATTTCCGTCGGAAAATATGGCAATTTTGAGTGCGGGATGCTTTAATTTCGCGAAATTATAAAACATTTTGGGCTTTACGGATCAAAAACGCCGACCTTCACAGAGCATTTCTATACCAGTCTTCAATATCCGCAACTCTCCGCATAGCAGGCTACAATTGGCACCACAGCAGAACGTCTGTTACTTTCTGGCGGATCCAGTTGCGGGTGCATGAAGTGATCGCAGTTTACCTAAGACACCTGGTGCCTCCCCCGTGTCGTGTCTGACCAAGGACCGCGTAAGTTCTGTTGCCCTGAGCATGGCTCTGAACGTAAGAGCACTGAAGCGCGAGTTCGAAGTAAGAACGTGGAAGCGGATCATCGGGGACAATCCGTACGTCGCCGTCGTTCAGATCACCGGAGGTCGAACATGGGGTCGAACAAATATCAAAGCTCGCATCTTAGGCGATGAGAAGGATTCACCAACCGTAGGAGTCCGTTTCGCAGTGCCGAGAGCAGCACGCGAAGGTGCTTTGAGAACCAAGTATGTCGGCCTGTCGGAATTGTTCCGCGGAAGTCCAAGCGCCGTTGTGTATGGAAGTGAAATAGATAATGTCGTAAAAGTCCTTCGACGCGCTCGGAATGTCATCGACGGCGGTATTCTCGTCGGAGGTCGCTTTGGCGATGCGATTATCACATCCAGGGTCTGGGCAGATGTTCTGGCAAGCGAAGGGGAGCGTGCTGAGTGGGCCAAGTTTGTTCAAGTTGTCGGTGCACCCCCGGGGTTCGTCGATGTACTCGATCGCAACGCGAAGGGTCTAGCCCAGACATTGGAAAATGCAGGCGGTGCGCAGAGACTAGCTCGAGTCGTGGAACGGATGGGCGAAGCTGTGAGGTAAAAAATAACTTCACGAGTATCCTTTGGATTGCACTTTAATGGAAGAGGAGGGTTCCTCTAATGCATACGTGAATTGTGAAGACGCCCTAGCTGTTGCACAAACATGCGGCACAAGCAATTTCGGTGTTTTCCAGATACACAGGCAATTGCAGAGTGCTTCATCGATGTTCAATGGTTGCCCATTGCTGATTTGTTTTTGATTTCCACTACCGACATGCCTTGTTTGTCTTGGTCTCTGCTACCAGGCAGATTTTGTGTGCATCAGGTTTCTCTTCAGGAATCCTCTTCGTTTCTTGTGAAAACACGAAGCCCTCCTTATGTCCTTTGTATTTGTTGCTTTAACTCCAACAACTCGTCACAGGCAAGTGGCTTATCTTCATTGAGCCTCTCTAAACTACCGATATTAAGCATTTACAAGTCTGCTGCATTGCAGCGATAACATGAAAACAACATATATTCGAAGTTGCAGATTCACAGCAAGAAAGGAAGAACTAGTAAGTGTCTATTGGACGGCTGTTCTAATATAGGGATTCTTTTTCAACTTGTATTTTTCTAGACTTGCGCTTTCTCACTAAGAAGGAGAAAAACACCATCGCCCCCGTACCTGATTCCTTCGTAGCGAAAGGAAAGGTGTTGGTGAGAACTACACGTCCCTTTCCGTCGTTTTTAGAAATGCCTGGAAAAGAAGCTTGCATGAGCTCTCTCGAAACGTTTTGTATGATATCTTAGAAACCAAAACGCTGGTTAAAAAGGGAAACTGGTCATTTGAACTGTACCAGATTATCAGTCTTTCAGTGTATTCAAAACTGCTATCCTGGTGTTCTGCTTGCAGAAGATCAAGATGTCATTGCTGAGGGCACGTACGATAAAGAAATGGTGTACAGTGTCTATCCGACTAAGCGTTATCATAACATAAAATCTGCGAATTTTATTTCTTTTCAACTTTGATGGCCACTGTTTCAAACCACCTTCTGAAGGTTCGATTTAGTATTTTTGCAAAAATATGCTGTCCTCATATGCGGTAAATCGCTTGCCCTATCGCTAGTGTCTAGGTGACAAATGGCCTCATATGAGGCCAGTTTTTAGGCGGGCTTTTGCAATTCGAATAATTGTAGAAATTTATCGCTACTGTAGTGAAAAGCTTACGAATAGAGTACTAAACGTTGACAAACCAGAAAACATTCAATTCCGTATCTCAGTCTTCCCTAATCAACAATTCGTCTTCCTCTTCCCTAAATTTCTTCAAAATGGTGAGCGTCAATGATCCTCGAATTATTGCAGGTAACCGCGTCCACACTCGTGCAAGACTGCTCACAGCTCAGAGTAAATGTCGTCGCATGTATCTAGCCTCCTGGAAGATCAAGTTGGTCACGGGAACTGTCATTGGCATGAAAACTGACAAAGTGAAGGGTCGCAGTGTCACTTCAGTCAGGTCTAAATGGGAATTATCAGATGGCGTCAAGGAAGTCACGCTTCGCATAGCTAACATCAAGGCTGGTGAAGTGATGGACCTGATCGATGACGGTCCTGAAGATCATATCCATCAAGAGACTGACCATTATGCGCAACCGGAGCCTACAGAGGACAGCGTGACGCCAATGGAAGGAGCACTCAGCCCGAGTACGAGGATCTCTGAGAGTGACGAAATGGATTCCCAAGATGGCCTCATGAATGTCCACGGCCGGGCCTGGAAGCGTGAGGAAGTCACGATGCATTTAAATGGTATGATACCGCCGAGAAGATGGAAGGTGATTCGACCGATTGATGAGATTATATGTCGTGGTCACAGTCCATCTCAAATGCATCCTACGGACTACTTCATGTGAATGTTCCCACAGGAGCACTTGGCATTAATGGTTTCCTACACCAACGATGCAATCGAATCAAGGGGACTTCGCTTGACTACAAGAGGTGAAATTTTGAAGTTTTTCGGGGTGCTAATCCTTATGACTCGGATTGAATTCAGCACCAGAAGGTCTCTTTGGAGCTCACAGGAAACCAGCAAATATCTCCCGCAACTTCAATTCGGAAACATCATGTCCCGCAGAAGATTCGAGGAGCTTCGTCAGAATGTCACGTTCAGCTTTCCAGCTGACTCAAATGACAGATGGGGTATGATCAGGGACTTCATGGTCGCAATCAATGATCACAGAGCATCACATGTGATTCCATCACAGAACATCTGCGTTGATGAGAGTATGTCACGCTGGTATGGACTTGGAGGAGATTGGATTGAAACCGGTCTTCCTCATTATGTGGCCATGGACCGAAAACCCGAGAATGGCTGTGAGTTGAAGAATGCTGCATGTGGAAAAAGTGGAATCATAATAAGAATTGAGAACGTCGTCTCAGCTGAGGAGACTTCTTAAAAAGATTTTGAAAGTGACCACTTACACGGAACCGCAGTGACTTTGAGGTTGTTACAGCCATGGTTTCACACCAATCGTGTTGTCTGCGCGGATTCGTACTTTGCTTCTGTCCACACGGCTGAATCACTTTATGAGAAAGGTCTTAGATTCACAGGTGTGGTGAAGACATCTACCAAGAAATATCCGATGAAATATCTATCTCATCTGGAGATTGCTGAAAAGGGAGAGCACCTCACACTAGTTTCGAAGCCGGTGGCCGGGCCTCATCTTATGGCAGTGATGTGGGTGGACCGAGACCGCAGATACTTTATTAGTTCTGTCGGAACATCCAACGAAGGAACTCCAATCTACCGCGAGAGATGGCGTACACGTCATGGCGTGACAAGAAAAGAGGAATTGTCTATCCGTATTCACTCAGTCTGCGAGCAGTATTATGAGACTTGCTCTCAGATTGACCGCCACAACAGATCTCGCCAGGATGATCTCGGCTTGGAAAAGAAGTTCGAAGTCAAGGAGTGGTCTATGTGTGTCAACACTTCTTTATTGGCCATTTGCATTGTGGATGCATGGAAACTGTATGCAGGTGCAAAAGGAGATGGTTCTAAGATGTCTCCAAATCAGTTTTATTGTGAGCTTGCTGACCAGTTGATTGATAACAAGTATGATTGTATATCGTTACGTCAGCGAGAATCAGACAGTGCTGTTGAAGATGAAGATGTTGGGCTTGGCAGTGGAATTGGTACTCACCTAACTCCAACCACTCGCAAGCGGAAAAGCGCATCTGGCGAGGAGACTCCTGCTCTTTATCAATCCAGATGCAATACTTGCAAAGGTACAAAAAAGTCAAAGTTTATTTGCTCGGCCTGCAAGGTATATTTTGACAAAGAAGTATATCTTTGTCATCACCAGACTGGGCGTGACTGTTTTAAGAAACATGTCGACGAACGTCACGATCTTACTTACAAAGGTAAGTACTACTAATGCTTAAAGCGTTCTAGGCCTTTAAAACTGACTAAATTGGTCAGCATTTGAGTAAAATGGAGCAAAAAGAGATAAAAACTCCTTTTGCCCCCTATGGTTCTATCCTGCGTCTAAAGACTTGCTTGGAAGACCTGCAGCCGTGTCGGAATGCCCCTTTATGAGATGTCACCGTATTCAATCTCATGTTCGAGTGGGCGCTATAAAGCGTCCTGGGCTGCAGGTCACGAACAAGAACCATCGAGATCCCCGAAGGGATTTTTCGACCACTAAAGTGCTCAGCGAGGAGTTGAACCCCGGCCTCTAAGACTGAGCCATCCTTGCAGACCACTGAGCTGGCTTGTCAGTTACTAACTAGTCGTTTATAGTTGTCTTTATAGTCGTTCAAAGTTCTACTTCGTAAAAAATGTGCTCCTTTTGTTCTATACTTGCGAAAATCTTAAATTTTGTTTAAATTTTACTGTAGAGCATTTGACCTCATATGAGGCAAATTGTCGGTCGTCTAGACACTAGTCCAGCTGCAGACACTATGGTACAATTGTAGAGCA